ATTACGACGGCAGTAGGAGAGGTGGGGCTTGCATGGAGAGGGCTACGTTTAAGGTGTGAGAGGTGACGCCTTGAAAACGTATTTCTCTCCACTTCCGCTCAGTTCACATCCCACGCTTTCCCTTCCAGCTGACTGGATTTAATCTTCTCCAAAAATGCCTTTTTAGTCCTCGGTTCTCCTGCCTCACTTAAGGTACATTCATTGATATTTTTTTTCCCTTCAGTGACAAAGAGGCTTTGTCTCTCCCCAAAATGGCCACATTCTGCTTGACGACCCTTAATGGAAACTTCATTTGCATTTATTTAGCTGCTTTTACGCAAAACACACACATTCCTCTCTTGGTGTCACTCAGAGCTAACACAAGGGATGGGGGAAGAAGGGCGTTTTGAAGGTAGCAGGCTGGATGGGTGGTACTCATCACGTATTCTCATGCGTTCTACAGAGCGACGGTGACAAACATAAAGGGCTGAATGACAAACCGTACGTGCTCTTCATCTAGAATAAGGACTGTTTGGGGAGCCTTTGGAGCCTGTTCAGACCTGCTTGAACACTGGAGTCTGTCTTAATGTGCAGGGGCATGGCATGTGGGATGCAGGCAAGAGCTGTGTGAGCGAGAGCGACGTGTGAAAAAGGAGAGCGCGATAAACAAGGGGAGATGGAAAGCAAGGGAGTGATGAGCTGTTTCGTTGAGCGCTTCGGCTACGTGACAGAAAGTGTTTGAGTGCGTATGTGTAGATCCTCCTTTCACCGAGTTGCCCTGAACTCTGTGTGTGAGGGCCCAGGGGAGGGTGTTCAGGCTTTCCCCACCGTCCCCACACCATGCTGTCACTTCATGACTTTTTGATTAGTGGATGGTGAACTGTGGAGGTGTTGAATTAAGGAAGGAGTGAGTGTGAGTGCGTGTGTGTGTGTGTGTGTGTGTGCACCCGTGCATGATTGCAGGGCAGCATGGAGGCATTTGACTCGCTGAGTTGAGTCTGATGAGACTTGATTGATGATTTTTAAAAAAAATAAAAGTAGAGGCTTCCTGCTGTTAGTGTTGAACTGTGTTGTTACGGGATTGTGTCATACAACTGTTTGCGTGCTTTCTTGAAGATTGTGGAATATCTTGTGCTCCAAGGTCAATATCACGTCTTTTTGCTCTCTTTTTGCTTTCTTTCTCTCACACGTTGACAGGTCAGATGAGGCAAAACAGCACCACAACAGCACGCCTTCCATTCTACACGTCTATCCATCTCACCTTTTAGATGTCTTGCGCGTTTAATGCTTACCTATCAATACCTTTTACATTTACAGCCAGGTAACGGAAAACTAGCCTGCATGTAGCGGTTTCATATGAGCACATGGCTTTCATTGCTGTGGATACGTGCGGTCGTGTGGTTAAAGGACAGTAATGCTTTCAGCTTGTATCATTGTAATGTGACATCTAGTTTGCTGGACAACACAATGTGCCGGCAAACAAATTGTCAAATCTATATAGTTAACACTGATCGGCACAGCATCTGCTGCGTTTGAAGGAAATGCGCTGCAGATGGACTGAAGTAATTGCTATTAATGCCAAACTGTCAGGCCGACCAGGTGTTCTACAGATCTGTTGCGTCCTTTTCCATTAGGCATCAGCGACTGATTAGACTGCCTTCATGTTGCTTTGCATTATTCTTGATATGATTTTTTTTCAATCAGAGTGCATTGTTTTCTTCTATGTATGAAAAGGCACAGCTGCACATTTGCCCTCAGTAAATAATATATCCGTTTCATATTTCCACATTTAATTAACAATAATAAAGCCGGCGAGTGAAGAGACATACTCTGGGGCTATGGATGCTTCACACTCTGTGATCCTCATTCAAATACTAATCTTGTCCTCCTGCAGCCTTTTCAATATGTGCATTATGCTTTTGCAATGTTTGATGTCTGTGTTTGCGTTAGTTTGTTTAGTCGGCGCTTACGCGCGGCATCTGCAGCTCACCAGACGTGGCTAATGAACTTTGAAAGTGTGTTGTGTTTTACGCATGTCTACATGGAGAGATTGGTCTTCTCCGTTTGTCAGATTCCTTGTTGAAATATGAGCGGCTGTGCTCGGGCTGTTATTGACGCTCACTGGAGCATTTCAGAAAGATGTTTACATGAATGCGGAAAAGAGAGGAAAAACAATCATAACTGTTTTCTGATCTCTCAGCACTTGACAGGCACAAGCAGCCGGCTCCTTTCACTAATAATAAATTCATGGCTGTAAACTTTCACTGGAAAATCCCAAACTAATATAGTTACTAGTTGAATAAATTTTGCTTAAGACTTGAGATTTAGACAATCTCTAATGGCCTGTCACTTGGCAATGAGAGGGGTTGACAGCTATTTGCTATTAAATTAAAATTTGTACTAAAACCCTTTTTTTTCCCCGAACATAAAGTAACGCAATGTTCTGATTTGAAATTCAAAATGATGCTAGAGTTATTTATAGGATGGATCCAGTATTTGGATCAGATATCAGTCCAGAGCTAGCTCAGGAAGTGTGATCGGGTGGAGGTGATGATGTTCTGTCTCTTATACAACAATACAGAAAAGAATAGAGTACTATGAGTTTGTGTTAGTAGTTTTGCGTACAAAGTAGTACTTTTGTAATGTTATTTACATTACATTAGCTCAATCATTCATTTATTAGCCATTTTAGCCTATGGTAAATAGTTGATTTCCCATTGGCAACGGCAGCTCAAGCGAAATAGTAATGCGTCCCAAACTAAATGGCAAAGTGTATTTAAGGATGATACAAGAAGGAAACACACTTTGCAAGTTGTGAACATGATTTGAAACTCACTCACTTTTGAGTCTTTTGAGGTGCTTCACTAAACAGGAGGTATTTCCTCCACTGGTCTTAAAAACCACGATGGTACTACTTGCATATTACCTTTTGTGGCTCACTCATCACCCCTTGGCTGTCTAAAGTACATCCAGAGCTTACTTAACTGTCTTTGTTATCAACAACTTAGGTTAGCGCTGTCGCGGCAGCTGCTCTAGTCACCAAGTCATCGTCTTCCATTTGTAGTTTTTGCTGCGTGTGGGAGCAGCTGGGTGAGGGCCCCCTCTTCAGCTGTAGAAGATCTGTAGTGTCCCTGTCTTCTGTACTTATGGTACTTAAAAAAAGAAAGAAAGAAAAGAAAATGGTGTATGGCATGTATCGGTTCTACAAGTATCCCTAGATCTGTGTACTACTTGGTCTTGTATCGTAGTACTTGGCTTGGGTCGAATACAGAAAGAAGATGCTGTGTTCTGGACTGTTGGAGAACACGTAGAATTTATGTTCATTTCACAGCTAGTTTTGCTAGCCCATACCGACCATTGCTTATCTATAGTACCTTGCCACATCCTCACAATATAAAGCATACGTGGCTATGGGAAGGTTTGCTCAAACTTGCAACGTACACCTGGTAGTTTGTTCGGATCAACCATAAACAAACCGCTCTGGAACTCATTTGGAGCCACACTATGACCACCTCTTCCAAAAGGTCTTGGTGCGGTTGTTTTGGTCCACACCGGAGTGAGGTCATTGTATTCACACTTGCACAAGAGAACTGCACCAAGGGGGAAACGAGCCAGATTTCACTTAAATGGACTAAACAGCACAGGTGTGCAAACACCTTAAGAATGATAACTGACAATTTGCCACTGCATCACACCTCTTGACCAAGTAAAGGATGATGAATGCTCCTGGCCATGTGCAGCGACATCATCACCTTGCATCCGTGCGAGCCTGCATCTGTGTGTTTGCAAACATCTGCTGCTTAAACGGTGCCAGCCCCATACTCGCAGGCATATAGTCACACAAATGCATGCATAGCCACTACTGTTTCTTCCAGTGATAAAAACTAAACAAGTGGCGCTTCAAAACTTGTCAGCGGCCACTCTGTCTGTCTGTGTACCCTACACTTTGAAAGGCAATTCCCTTTAAGTTAAGGAGTGAAGCTGTCTGCAGCACGTTTCGTGCTGTAGTAGCAACTCACTTCTAAATCCTAGTTATGCAGGAAACATTTTTTGTTCTACCTTAGCTTCATTGGGGTATAATTTGAAGCAGACACCCACACACGGATTTTTAAATGAGTACTAAATCATGCTGAAGAATAAGTTAGCTGTGTGCTTGTATGTGGTGGTTGGCACATTTACATTTACTTCCCTCAGATCAGTGGAAATGATGAGAGCTTTGTAGAAAATCCTCATCATTTCTTGAACATAAACTACAAGCTAACAAAAAGCCATGTCATTAGTAACTGTAGTGATGCTTGATTGCACAAAAATGACTACTGCACTACTAGTTTTTCTTGTGTTTACAATGGCCTTCCTTTGCTCCATTGCCCCCCAAAACAAACACAC